TTTTCAACTTTTTTTTTTTTTTTACCTGTTGTGAGCCACTCAGAGTGGCTTAGATGAGATTGGCAGCCATACAAATCAAATAAATCATGATCATCATTGCTTCTGCATTCAATTAAACACAGAAGTTCAGTTGGGGTAGTGGTGATGACCACAACACTTTACAATGGACAGTCTGATAGAATAATGGATATAAATCTAACATAAAAATGTCAGCATCCAAAACCAGAGTGAGAATGCTGCAGCCCTCCAAAATATTCTGTCATTAATTTTAACCCTAACCCTTGGAATGAAAACAACTAGTTCCTTCTAATCATCTACAAGATCAGATCAATAGACTACAATCAATCACAAGACTGAACACCATTTCTCACAGAGACCAAGTTTTCTTGTCACCTTCTCTAAGTCAAGTCAGCTGTAGGATGCAAAAATGCCTAGGTTACGCTTCACTATTGCTGCCTTAATGGCCACTGTATTGTCTGCCACCTGTCCTGTCATCACTTCCTCCCCTCACCCAAAGCTGGGCGTTTGTTAGCATTCCATGATCATGCGATGGGCAGCCTCAGTCAAATTCTACTTGGAAAGGATTGCTGGGGGCTTTGGGAACACAGTAGAAAAGTGGTCTGAGCAAGCAGTCAAAGATAAAATAAGATTCCGGGGCAGGTCATGTTGAACCTGGACAGTCCATCTTGGAAGATACTGGGACTGTTGTTGCTGTTGGCTGGGAGAACATCAAGTTAGGTCTTTTGGACAGAAGTATCCACCTTCCTTATACAAATGACCAGCCTGTTCTGCCTCTTTAAAGAATTGGAGTAGGCCATGGTAGCAATTTCCATAACTTTGAACTTAAGGGTCTCTCCAAGTCATGGGGCGTTAAGGCTGTGACCAGTAGCCTGGACACAGTGGCATAACTATTTCCCCAGCTAAACACTCTGCTGGCTGGAAGTTCTGGGAGTTGTAATCCTCACACATCTTCAGGGCAACTGGTTACCAAAGGCTGACTTATGTTACAAAACAAACCCAGAATGATCTCTTTGGTATAAGCTGTGAAAAAAGGTTAACTATGTCTAATAAACACACACATTCTGCTGAAGCACATTGAAAAACAGAATTCCCAGGGAGAAGAAAAGTTGGAATGAGGGGCTAAAGTATGAAAAGGCAAGCTATTTTACTGCACTTTACTATTTTACTTAATATATTTTCTTAGATTTTCAGGTATAATTATTTTGTTTTAGATTTACGCTTTAAATTAAAGAAACATTTGATTGGAGAAATGATTTTGGCACTGGGATGAAAGCCATATATACCATGCTTACATTTTTTTTTTCAAAATTTAAATACTGAAAGAGTTTTTGTAGTCCCTAGGAATTCCATTACATTTCAAGGATTTTCTATATTTAGCAGCATCAAGTTTTCTTTTTCCCCTAACTACTTCTGATAGAAAAGTACAGTTGCTTTCTTCCTAAAAGTTTCAAGTTTAGGGGCTGGATCAGGGTTGTTTTTTTTTAAAGATTTCTTATCCCCCCTTTATTATTTTTATAAATAATTCAAGGCGGTGAACCTACCTAATACCCCTTCCTCCTCCTATTTTCCCCACAACAACCCTGTGAGGTGAGTTGGGCTAAGAGAGAGTGACTGGCCCAAAGTCACCCAGCTGGTTTTCGTGCCTAAGACAGGACTAGAACTCACAGTCTCCCGCTTTCTAGCCTGGTGCCTTAAGCACTACAGTAGACAAAACTGGCTCTTTTTCTTCCCTTTTTTCAATTCCTGCATTCTATATCTGGAGGCTGAGTCATGGCAACTAGACTTCTGACTCAACCTCCTGATAATTCCACCTGGATGATTGAGAATCTTCATCAAAATCCTACATTGTCTCTACTTTTTTTTAATTGACAAGGCTAATGTATGTATATGGGCTGAACTGAGCAGGAAAATCAGGCTGCTGCAACAGTGATATAGGTATCTGAAAATGCCTTAAACAATGAGACACTTACTTGGAACATCACCTTGTACTCCAACCTCATGAGAAGTAGTAATCAATCTTCTCATTGGATGTGGGTTTTAGTTGTCGATTTTGCCACTTTATGCAAAACCTGTACCTTATTATATGAATAATATCAGTTCATATTGATAGGTATCCCAAATGTTGTTTGTCAAACAGCATGTGGGAAAAGGAGGTTTTCAAGTTGCTGCCCTTCTTTATTTCTTAAAGAGTGCACTGAGTTCCTTTCTCTTCTACTCAAAATCAGAATATTTGGAGACTCCTACTGACCAAGAAATGTCGTTATCTAATCTCATAAAGGAACAACTTGGGTCTGGTCTGAGCACATCCACAATATCTTAATTCTATTTCTGATTGCTTTTGTGCTGATTTCTCAAGCTCACAAATATGAAAGCAAGCAGAGACTCTTTCCTTCACTGTTGAGCACAACAGGATCTGTTTGATGTGGCAGAGTTTCCTATCAGTAAGTGTGAAATGTGTCACCAACCACAAGCCTTCTTCTTGCTTCCACTGTTGCTGCACAGTCTATGATTTCATTTCTCAATGTTATGAGGCATATTTCCTACAAAGGGGGTTACAGCACTCCTGTAGCTGATTACAATCAGGTAGCAGCTCCTCAGACCCAGCACTGTGACACCGAGAGCTTTTTGTGAGCCCAATTGTTTAGAGGGCAATATCACTGCTTTGGCCTCAATACTTTCCCACCAAAATGAAGGACCAAAGTAAATCTTGATAGTGGTTGTGCAATGGTGTGAACGTTGTTTAAAATATAAATGGTTACAGGTAGGTCTCTGACCCAGATCAAACATGTAGCAAGGGCAGGTGGGATCGTGGCCCCACTATCTCCTAACAGTGGCTGGATGCAAATTAGCCCACTGTGCAATTTAAGGACTCATTCACTCAACTGGTAATTCTATGAATGGAATCAGGCCTAGCAGGTCCTAAGGTCTAGTTCAGAGATCATGTAAGAAGATGGTAGTAGATTCTGTTGGAAGACAGAACTGTGCAGGCTATATGGTCTGCCCTACTCTCCAGTGATTAGCCAGTGGTGGAGTTTGGTTTTCTCTTGTCAATATTGATGGAAGATTTAGGGTCAGAATCAGTTCTGTTGGTTCATCTATGTCAAACTGGGTGGGGGAGAATCTTGTCCATTACTTTTAGAAATAAAAGGTCTTGATCTGGTTTGAAGAGGTAGAATGAAATAAAAAGATACTAGTTCAAACTGTAGAAGTGGGATACCTTTAGTTGATGCTTCTCAATATAACTGCCTGCAAATAATACCATATAAGTTAATAATGCCACTGCAGGAACTGAGTTCTAGCCAAACTGCTTTTTCCTCTGCTCACTTTCCACCTGGAAGAAAGGTGACTGCTTTTAAACACAAACACAAAGATCATTCAACATATGATCTGGTACTTGAACAGTACCCTAAGATGGAAAAGAGTGTGCATACAGACTGCCCACACTTAGTATCAGGCAATGCAAATTGATAGTACTCTTTCAGTCCTCTCCAAGTGGGACATTTTAGCCAGCTTTGACAGCAGGGAATCCTTTTGTGGCCTAATTCTTTTTTTTTAAGTAACATCGTGTCATTTTGCCACATCAAAAGACGCCACATCAGAAAATGATTTAGAACTGTTCAATCTGAGACAGATTTACCCCACTTTCATTAGAGTTTCCAGCTAATCCTAGAAGACTAAATGGGGCTAAAAGTCATACATTCAAGAAGAGCTCCTTTTCCTAATGTCAGAATCTACAGCTCAGACATCAGATGCTCTTTTAAAACCAGCTTAGAGTAAAGGAGGGAATCTGAGCTATGGCTTTTGTGAGAAAAATGGTCAAATCAGGTTTCCTTTCAATATAATGCTTAATCCATATAAACCATAGATCAGAACCTTGCTGCATTTAAAAATGGATAAAACTTTTGCAAGAGAAGTCTGTTGGTGGAAGCCTGCTTTTATTGAGAAACCAAACTTGGGTTTTCTGCCCTGAGAATTAGAGCACCGTATAACAAATGTTAAGCCAGGGCCTGAAACTGGCCCATCGTGCTGCCTTTCAAAGAAACCCACTTCCTAGAAATAAAGCTACGCATCTCTCAGTATTACTCATTCATGAACCAAGATTTTATATAAGGCAGATGTGCTCCTTTCCCATTTCAAAATGCACCTGTTCAAGTGTTGGGATGTGTTTGTGATATGGAATTGCCAGTTTTTCATTTTATTATCTGGATATGAGAGAATGTCTTAGTCCTTCACCTGTAGCTCCTAGACTATTGAGATCCCAGGAGACTAATAATATTTACATACCAAAGTCTTTGCAGACCCATTAATCCCTTGGTAATTAAAACGAATTTAGGCATATTTAGAAAGTCCCCAATACAAAGGACCTAAACCTGTGCAATGGCTCCTTGCTATTGAATGGTAAAGCATTTCCTCTTACGTTCTATTACAATAGCGGTCTGAACTGTTCCGGCTGTGTTGTGCATCAGTGGTTCTTAAGATGGAACTAATAATTCTCTGCTTTGTGGAGAGCAAGCAGCTGCCTGTTTAACTCTCCTTGGTAGGTATGGAAGTAGAGGCAAGGATATGTCTGAATAGTTGTTGAGGGTAAGGCTACCAGAATTGGGCTGTAAGCATCTAGTCAACTACCACATGGCAGCCATGAGAGACAGAAAACTCTAGCTTTTTGCTATCACCAGGTGGTGATCTGAAATTTTGCAGTCCCAGACTGGTAGTGCTAGTTGAGAGAGCTGTGGGGAGAAAAGTAAGCGCATAGAGGATTGGTAGAGTTAGAGTGGCTACTCAGCCGAGGAGGAAGGTGGAAAACAGGGTGATTTAAAAGCTCTTGCTTCGCTGCTATTGGTTGTCTATTCCAAACCTTATACACAGAATCCTTTAAAGGGCCTGCCAGAGACAGGGAAGAGGGAAAGTTAAACGCTTACACAAATACCATGGATATAACCAGCATTTTTAAAATAATAAATGGCCTGTGAGTCCTCAAAGAATCCAGGAGCAAAAAAACCCCTTTTCCTTCATGAAATTAAATACATCTTCACATCAATACACTTCACACTTCACAAAAATGAACTATCAGAAGGTAAGCAGTATAAAAAACCTTAGAAAAGAAAGGTTACTGGACTGTAACTAATTCAGGGTGCAAGTGACACAATGTCTTTTCTTCCATTTTACAACTCAGCCCCACAAGCCATGGGAAACTTCCCACATCACCAGTTTGCGGCTCTGTTTGAAGCTGAAGGTTTCCTGGGGTCCTTGGCATATAATATATGCCTTAAAGAGCTTTGGCCTTGAAGCAATCTGGAAGAAAAAAGATCACGTTTGGTTCAGATTTGTAGAGGCAAATGGGAAGTCCATAGCAGTTCCAGTTCAGCTGTTCCACGCACAGCTTAGAAGGTCCCTGTAGCCAGCTTGATGAAAGCACTAGTGCCTGTTTTTTTAAAGCATGTATAAACCAAAAAAGGTGTTTGACTCCTCAAAATTTATCATTGTGGGTTCAGAGACACTCACATACACACTGTCCTGCCTGGAAAGGTTGAACAGAGACCCCAAATAACTACTTTTGCCCCACATGCGCATTGTCACACAATAGTTCATCTTTCTGTCCTCCATCAGGACCTGATTGCCAGGATACGATGGATTTCTTTTGAAAACAATGTGGTCAAGTGGCTGGGAAGTGCAGGTCCGGCCTCGGAAGAACACTTTGGAGTAAACAAAGTAGAGCCCAGCTTCATCAATCAGTAGACCCCTGTTCTTGTACTGAACCCCAGAGAGGAAGGCGTGTCCATAGGTAGTCTCCCACTCCAGGGGATGAGATTGCTGATTTGCTTTGCCTAGAAAAACATGAAATATCATGGTGAAAAGAGGAGAGTTTTCCTGCAGTCAGGAGCATTTGCTCTAGGACCCCATTCCCCCAAACAGCCTAGGCACCAAAACCATGATTTGGCTTGCACATTCCTTCCTTTCTTTGGGCTAAATGAATCTTGCAACTCCAGCCAACTGACCAGGTTTCCACAGTCACTGCCAGGTGGATCCTTCTCCTGGCTGCTTTGCTTCTTGGTTTATCTTTCAGTTGCCTTGACTCACCCCTGCTTATTGCTTTTAACTCTTGTTATAAGCATCTCATAGCAGCCACACTTGCACTAGTTTTGGCCTCAGATGAAATGCTCCAAATAGCAATCCACTGCCTGCCAGGTTATCGCCATGATTCTTAGTCAACATTCAGAAAGGACCCCCTTTGCTTACCCAAATTTGGTGGAATCCTCAATATGTAGAGTGGGTCATTTACTGCAGCATTCAGCTGACCCCAGAAAGATTCTTTGGGCTCTACAGGCCATGTATGGGATGGGAATAGGATGAGGAGGAAAACATTGTGTTAGCACTCCCAAATTGCCTTTCTTCAGTAGAGTGCAAAGGCTTCTCTTCTGCACGGGCAGTAAAGTGTCATTGTGCTTTAAATATTCAATCTTGTCCTTTCTTCTTAGGATAACTTCTTGTGTGCTTTTTTAAGGACATGAGGCATTAAGAGATAAGAGAGGGAGCTTGTTCCTCTGGTGGTCGGCATGGGTCAACCTGTTTATAGACTGATACTACCCCAACGTGCAAGTTAAGTTTGTCAAATGCTACCTGCAAGGAGCAGAACCAGAAAGACAAGAATATTATGCAACATCCCGCTCCTCTGAGATGGGGGCTTCTCACTTTCTCTGGCAAATATGCAGAGGACCTTATAAGGATGGTTTGGTACAGATTAAAAGAGCCCATACTGTTGTCAAGTCTGGCTCCCACAAAAACTCCTGCCAGTTTGCAAGAGCTCCTGTGGGTTATACTATGGTAAGGATTGAAGATGACCATTTCTGCTGTCCAACACTGAAAGGCAAAGAGGCCTCTTGAGCTTTGCTGACCTAATGGCCAGGCTAACAATTTGGCAGTAAGCCAGGGGCAGGGTTTCCAGGCACACTTCCGCAAAGGAAACAAGGCCCCTGGGGGTGGGAGAAGAGAGAGCGAGGGAAGAGAAGTAGATGCATTAGCCTGTCATGCCATCACAACCTGCTACACTTTTGCTGCCTACCTGTTAAATGTGCACTCCTCTTGACTTTCTTTTCTGCTGTTCTGTTCAGAGCTCCTACATTGCAGGAGAAAAGGGGGAAAAAAGCAGTTCATGACTGTTTGTTGGCATCTGGAGGTCAATTCAGAATATGAACAGATGGGAAATTTCAGGTCATGTAATCCCCTATACAAGGTGATTGCAGGAGTATATCTGGCATATCTGGAGCTCAACACACTGAGAAAGGCTTCCTTAAGGGAAAAAAAATATGGCAAGAAAATTTGCTTCATCCAGACAGTGCACATGAGATGGGCAGGAACATACAAGAATGTATGCCAGAACTTGTAAAATGAAACCATTTATTAATGCTGGAAGACTTCAAAACAACTTCACATGGGTAAATAGTATGCTGTAATTACACTGCATGGCACAGATAATTGAGAGAGCTATAGTGGGTAAAGCAGAGAGAATGCTCTCATTTTTGTTGCAATACAGACTTTTGTCAAATAGATATTGCGCATTTTAAAAATGTAATTTTAAAAAAGCTGTGGAAAAAAAGATAGTGGGTGGATTCACACAGACAATTGCACTCTCAGAATTTCTTCTATTACCCGAAAACATTGCTTATTTAACAGGAGATGGATGACAGATTAAGCAATTTTGGGGGTCCGAAACATGGCCAGCTAGCCTCAACAAGCATCTAGAAACTAGATCAAGCATCTCTTGAACTACGAAACCTGTTCTGGTCTAGACTGGGAAATATTATGGATTCCTGTAAAATTAAATTGGCATGTTCTGCCAAAGCCAACTCCATAACAGCACAACACCAGTGAAAAATGTTTACTAACAAGTCATTCTCTAGTCAAAAATATCCCCCTAAGTCTTACCTCTTTCCTGATCAGACAAGTCATCTAGATAAGTAAAGATTAAAATACCACCGCGAGAATGCTCCGGCTCAATACTGAAAAGATCAGGCATTACCTACTCTAGAGGAATGGATAGTTAAGTTGTCAGAACTCATGGCAATGGCAAAATTGAAGGCGATCATAAAGGAAAAAACATTGAAGAAGTTTAAGAAGGACTGGAAGCCTTTTACTGATTTCTTGTACAAGATTGAACATCATCAAATAGTGACATATAGGTTTGATGATTTGTTATAATAATAGACTATTCAGAAAAGTAGAAGTCTTATTAAAAGTTAAACAAGGTTGTATGAAAAGTTTTTTGTATATCTCTTTTGCAAAGGAAGTCGGAAGTCACTTTGATAAATGTTCATATATGTTTGTATTATTTCTTCTACTGTTTTTCTTTAACTCTTAATCTTCGTATATTTTTTTCTTTTTGTTTTCTCAATTTGTACATTATGAAAAATAAAAATAATTGGGAAAAAAAGTAAAGATTAAACTACCACAGTGAATTTATATGAAGTACCTTAAATCCTCAGTACATAATCCTTAATTTCTTTTGGCCCAGGCAGCAGTTAACATTTGCAGCATTTTTTTTTTTTAATTTTACTCCTTTTGTCCTAAATGAAAGCCCTTATTACTCATCCATTTGGACTAGGGTTCCATTCTCTGGAACAAGAGTCATTCTCATGAGGATTGCAGTATCCAGTATGGTAGAAAGGGACTGAGCTGTTTAATAGCAATTGCTGCCAGGGATGAGTTCAGGGGGAGTCATGATCCACATGGTGGATGCAACAGGGCAATTGAAGCCTCCCCCTTTTAAACATGCAGTACACATGTAAAGGGACAGGGCTTCAATCACACAGTTGTCTCTGCCATTTTAATGCTTTTGATTCCCTCCATGGATGTCCCTGGTTGCTGTTACTGAATTTGTGGAACCAAGAGCAGTACCATATATTAAAATTTGGCTCTGAAAATTGGGACAGCTTGTGGTCTTTTCTCCTTTCACTCAGGAGTTTGCAGGAAGTGGGAAAGCCCTGTACTGTACTGTAGTGCTTTATAAACCTGGAGTTTTTTGGACTTGCTTTCTTGCCTTACTCTGCCTTTTGCCTATTCTCCAAGCCGGCACCAGTTACTTGTTTCACAGCTGAATACAGAAGATTCTTAGACACAGTCAGTTCTCTAGAACTGTATATAGCAAACTGTATACAGTATCTGAACTCTTTATATGCAGCCTCATTCCACTATTTCAAGCAAATAATGGGAGGGTTATAACATGTGCAAACCTATGAAGAGAAGCTCAGGTATAATATAACCAGGAAACACAGTCTGTTCAATTTTTGCTCTGCACCCTCCCAACCTTCACAGGACTAGGAATTCTCACCTTTCAGCAGATCAGGAGATGGAGGGACACGTCCAGAGCTGGAAAACTGTCAAAGCGAGAAACAAACAGGTATATTTGGCAAGAAAAACCACCCCATGAAGGATACATAGCTAGGTAAGCTTCTACAACTCCAGATCCTATTCTCCCAACTTGAGGAGATATCCTAGGTACTTCCCTCCTGCTTCTAAATTGAAATGTTACCTCTTGGAGTTCCTTCTGCAGGTGGAAGATCTGAAACATTGCCAGCCCGACCCCCATGAGGGCAAGTAGAATCAGCAAAAATGCCACCAGGAAACAAAGGCATGTACCATCTCTGTAGTTCTGTCTATGCCTTTTCCTCTCTGGCACAGGCAATGGGAGGCAAATGTCCTGGTGTGCCACAATTCCACTGGAATGGTACAGTCCCACTTGAGGAGCACAGTCTGAGCTAGAAAGTGCACTACTGTTTGTCCAGAAGACCTGGGGACAACCACAATACTGGTTCTGCTGCATGACTGAAAAATGCATAAATTGAGTCCCTGGATTCCTCCCTCAACGCTGCTGAGATAATTTCAGATGCCGTGTCATTGAAATGCTCTCTTCCTGTACTTGTCTCTGCACAGCACCTGCACCCAAAACTGAAAAACCTTGGGGTTGACTGGTGAAAACCTCACAGAGCTTCCGCCCACTGCTGTGATGCTAGATAATTGCATGCAATGAGGAGGTGCTTTGAGGAAGGCCCCAAAACCACCCTCAAGTGATATCATCCCTAAAATAAGCTTAATATAATTTAAAAGAAAAAAGAAAACAAAGAAAGAAAAACCACAGCCACCTTCTCCAAAAAAATTAAACAAAACAACCCCTCCCAGTCCCCCCAAAACAGCCCCCCCAAAAAACAAAACAACCCTTCCCAGCCCTGTCCATCTGGTCTCACCCACTTTTCATCATAGTCTACTTACTGTGGCCCTTTTAACCATTATGTAGATCTCTAAGGTTGCCAATTGTAGAGAGACTTGTAGTTCAGCAGAAGAGTGCAGAGTTTTATTTGTCCAAAACAAAGGACTGGAAGGTCCTACATGCACTTTCACGTTCACTTTAATCTTAACTCTACATATTCCTAAAAGCCAGTGCAGTACCCAAGCCAGAAGGGCAGTTGTGTGGACTATTAAACCAACTGAATTATTTTTGTAAATATCAGATCAGAATGCTTTCCCCTATTCATCTGATGGTAGTAAGCTGTTTTGGAGACCAGAGACCATTAAGAAATACGTCATTATAAAATAAATGAAGTCTTTTATCTACTGATTCTTGAGCCATGAATTGTCCATCTACTTTTCCTACTTCTACTTATGTACCTATGTGCTGGTCACACTGCAAATAATCAAAAGGAAAATTAGATGTTAAAAGCCTGCCACCATGTTCTTACGGAAACTTGAATAGGCGAGTGGGCAAGATGCATGGGTCTCAAAGCTTTGATAATATGTGGTGACCGAGTAGTTCCTGGGTCCTGGGTCAGTATCACCTCAATCGTTAGCTGCATAAATAACCAGCTGGTGGAGAAGACTCATTAATCTACATTTTTGCACAGTTTCAGTGGATTCATACTGGCTACAGCAAGTGGTAGGTGTGTTCTAAGTTTCACTAGAGATTTCCATTGCACTAGAAGTGGGCTAGTCTTTTCATATGCATCCATTGGATGGAAAAAGCCATGTTTTATTATTTTAGACAGAATACAGTGGCTGTAATCAACAGGGTTACACATCTTCTTGCTGGCTAGGCTTGTGTGATGCACTGTAAATTAACTACAGGGACTGGTAAGCACAACATGCTAAACTAAAATGAGATTGGCTAGATTTTGGTTCAGTGTATCATACAAAAACAGCCAATGTTTGAAACCTCTTGTGTTTTCCCAATCAATCCTAGTCAAGAATAACTTTCTGATCACTAATATTTTAAGTATGTATTCCTTTTTAATAAATCACGAGCAACCATTTTAAATACTTCATTTTAACATTTCATAATCTCAGGTTAATAAATGCTTGGTGCTGAATACTTTTTATTTTTGGAAAAAAACCAGAATAATAACTCTGTAGAACATATAAGTAGGAAGAGATTTTTTAAAAAGTCATCTAGTCCAACTCCCTGCTTAATACAGAATCCAGATTTTTGACAGAGGGCCTTCCAGACCCCAGTTGAAAACCTCAAATGATGGTCCACTCTTCACAGTTCTTTCCACCCAGAAATTCCTCCTAATATTCAGCTGTACTCTTTTTTTTTAATTTCAAGTAGCTGGTCTCTCAATTTCAACAGAGAACACATCAGCTCACTGTTTCTTTTTCGTTTTCTTAGATATGTGTAGATTGCTGTCATATCTCCCTGTTAATCTTCACTTTTGCAAGCTAAAGATGCCCAGCTCCTTTAACTGTTTTCATACAGCTTGGCTTCCAAACTACTCAGCTCTCTTCGGAACCACTGTGTCTTCTTATGTCCCTTGTAAAGTGGTGACCAGGACAGTCTAACCAGAAAAGAGCAGCAGCCCAGGTCACCTTGGCTTTTTTAGCTGCTGTATCATACTGCTTGCTCATATTCAGCTGGTGGTCCTTTAGGGCACCTAGGTCCATTGCACATGCACTGTCATCAGGTCAGATCTCCCCAGTATTACATTTGTGCCTTTGATATTTTCTACCTAGATGTAGGACTTTATGCTTGTCAGCCCTGAACTTCATCCTATTGGGTTCTGCCCAATGTTCAGTCTGAATGGTGTTTTTATCTTCTAAGATATTAGTCAATCCTTTCTGGTAGGATTGGAAGTCTACCAGACTTCCCTCCAAAGGACAAGTACAATCCCTTCTGCATGTGGTTGCAAATCCAGCAGACCACAGGACTTGTAGCTGTATTTATCCTTCTTGTTCACAAGGATATTGTGACAAGCTCTGTTAAACACTTAACTGAGATCAAGGTGTGCTACTTCCACAGCATGTCTTGGCCTATTGAATTAGTCACTGTGCCATAAAAAGAGATAAGGTTAGTTTGCTACAACTTGTGGCTTCTGCTAATGGTAGCATCCTTTCTATATGTTTGCAGATGTGCTGCTTCCACTGGAGTCTGCAGGGAAGAGATCGACAAAGTCAAGATGGAGGCAAAAACCATGGGATCGAAGCCCTGCCCTACACATGAAATAGGGGTGGGGCTTCAGTTGCATGGTTGTGGCCTCCATTTTGACTTTTCTGACCCCTTTGTGGACACCTCTGACTGCTTCACAATCTGTTCTGATACGTTGCTTAGGGAAGATGTGAAATGAACAAGTAGTTTTCTAGGTCCTCCTCTTTCCTCTGTTTGAATATTGGAACTATTTTTGTCTTTTCCAAGTTCTGGCATCTCACAACCACTCCATGCCTTTTCAAAAACTAGAGTCAGCAGTTCTGAAATCACGGTGTCAGTCTTTCTGAACATTCTGGGAAACAGTGTGCAGGCCCTGAGGTCAAGACTTTTTTGAAAGGAGCAAGGTGGTTCTTACTATACTGTTCTGAATCCTGGCTGCGTTCCCTCCCCTCCCTTTTTCTTGTCTCTCTTTTGGGGGAATACAGGTCCCTGGGCCTTAAGTTAATTGCCCCTACTCCTTCCTGAACCACATGAGAAATGTGGAATGAACATCCATAAAAAGGGTCACATTCTAATAATGCAGAACATGAATTGTAATGCCCTTTGAGGCTTGAAAAGAGCTGCACTGTAATTTGTTAACATTAAGATCCACCATTCTGTAAACAGTCATGGAACAATTTTATATAATGGTCAGCAGCTGCAACCAATGATGCTTAAAACTATAAGGACCGCTCGTGGGGTGTGTGACTGGCGTCGCCAAAGAGAAGGCGCGCTTGGAACATTGCAGTGGCTCCATCGCTCTGGACAACAGGCCTCTGGCCCTGAGAAGCAAGAGGAGACTTGATAATCTGTCCAGGAGTGGAAAGAGCACCGAGAACCCAATTCCTGCACAAGCAGTGCTCTGCACATAGAACCATTCCAGAGCAACATTTTGTACCATTTGGGGATTGGCAGTGGACCTCTTCCTGCAGATGTGCAAAATATGTTCAACTCAAATAAAATTCTTTAATACAGGATAGCATCGGAGACAAAGACTTACTAAATAAAACCTACAGAACACAATCTACAAAATAGAATGTACAGAATAAAATAAGGCATACAAGGTAAAAAATTTATAATCATGCTTGCACTATTTTGCTGTCACCAATATATGAGTTTTACAAGCTGCAGAGACAAACTTTGCAATGCCAAGAGTTACTATACCTTTATCTGTTAGTAAAAATGGAATATAAAATTCTTTAGTCTGGCCTGGAAACGGGGTTAGAAAAAGCATTAAGCAACTCTCTCTCTCTCCCCCCCCACTCTCTCTCTCTCTCTCTCTCTCTCTCTCTCTCTATATATATATATATATATATATTGAAGAAACTTTTAAAAGAATAAAAACAATACAAATTTTGAAAAAAAGAGTAAAGAAAGTAAAGAAACTAAGTAGGTGAAAAAAAGTGCAAAGTAAGAAATAGAAAAAAAAAAAGAAATAAAAGAAAAAGTTATATAAAGAAGTGGCTTCTGATCTTCTTAACAGCAGTTACAAGTACATTTATATTTTATCCTGTCTCTCTAAGGTTACAACATAATTTCCTTCTTTCCATAATCTACCCTTTCTAATAATCAAACCCATAAGTCACAAGTTCATTTTTTTCTTCTTTCAGCAAAAAGTCCATAAAGGATTTCCAGTAGCTAATAAATGTGATTATTGTCCTTTCTCTAATTAGACAACTCATTTTTGCCATCTCTGCGAATTCTGACATCTTTACCAGCCATTCCTTGGTTGCGGATATTTCAGAGTCTTTCCATTTTTGTGCATACAATAGTTTCACAGTTATCATATACAAAAACAATCTTCCATAACTGTTTTCTAATTATCTATCCATTAGTCCCAGCAACAGAAGGTCTGGTTTCAATTGAATATTAATTTTTAAAATTCTTTGTATCATTATATGTATTTGAACCCAGAAATTTCTGGCTTTTTTACAAGTCCACCAGGCATGATAAAATGACCCTTCATGTTTTCCACATTTCCAACGTAGATTTGAAGTACCTTTATATATTTTAGATAACTTTTCTGGAGTCATGTATCAACAATACATCATTTTATAAAAATTCTCTTATAATGTAATGTAAAGTTCAATTCTTTCAGCCACGTATTTTCCCATTGTTACATCAGTTATATCAGTTACATCA